GGGGGGAAGGGCGGAGGGAAAGAGGGGGTAAAGGAGGAGGGCATGGAGAGACCGAAAGAGGGGGAAGAACACCTGCCGCAAAGGTGTCTGGCTGGTCCACATGCGACGGGTAACCATCTTGCACAGAGTGAGTGCCTTCTCAGTCAGCTGTGCCCATCCCCTTTTTAAGACAATCTCAAAAAGTGCGCGCATCAATCTCCCTGCACTCTGCAAGCGTATCGCAGCAGAAAACAAGCAAACGAATGGCAGCCCACTGCAACTGTATATATCACCTCCGTTTTCTTGCATACTCGTCATCTTTAGGCATGCAACCAGATTGATTTTTCTTCCTTCTCTTCCTACTGATACTATAATTTTGTCTCCCCGTTCTGTGCCTTTTCTTTTCATCATTTGTTTCTATTTGCCACTTGTCCCAAGTCTCCTGTTGAACAGCTGAAAACTAGAGTTCCCGGGAGTATGTCTTTTGATTTCTGGCCAAGCAAGTTTGCCATATGACTACCGGTAGGGGTACTGCTAAATACCATACACGAGTAACTTGGCATCCAAGACAACACACACACACACACACACACACACACACACACACACACACACACACACACACACGCACACACACACGCGCGCGCGATTAAAAAGTTATCTATTTTTTATGGTCATCTGCCTGTTCAAAAAGTAGCAAAAAAAACATATACTTATTAGACAAACAAAAGAGTTTGTTATTATTAATGGAGAAAAGATCGGACATTCTTCTTGTACGTATGAATTTTTGTTCTACTATTTTTGCAGCAAGACAGCTTATAAGTCACACACACACACACACACACACACACACACACAGAGGGAAGGGGAGAGACAGACAGACAGACAGACAGACAGACAGACTGAGACAGAGACAGAGACAGAGACAGAGACAGAGACAGAGACAGATTTGAATCCACTATAGATTCTTGAAAAGGTCGTTCACATCGTCACTGAACTTGAGAGGAACATTAAAAACAGTATTTTCAAAGACAAGTTTTAAGGTTTGTTTCATTAAACCTTGTATGCATTGCCCGCTTCTACAGAACTTTCACCTGGCAAATTCAGTTTTGCGAGAGTTGCTGTTGACCAAACTTTTGCTCTGCAGTCCACAACATCACACAAATTATACTTTTCAAGTTTCGATGGCGAAACCTTCATAATAGTTCATATGCATGCATATAACGACCATGCATTCTATTTGGGTAAAGAGAGTAATTTCCTGAATTAGTTTTTCAGTCACGCACGTCTGAGATACCACGCTGGATTACTTTTTTAATTCTTAAAGGTCAAAGCTTCAGACAATCAAGATCCTAAGTCGTTACTGCCAACACTTTGCAAACTGTGCTCAGCAAGGCGATTGAAGACACATGGGCCAAATCGAACACGAAGGAAAAGGTAAAGGACAATCAGTGAAACAATTGATTAAACATTGAACTCCAACATGGAGCAGAACAGATCCAGTATATCCCTTTCTTGACTGTCTTTACTTCAGCTTTCTTTGGGGTACCCCTTTTTTTTTTGTTCTTGCAGCTAGGGTCGCCTTCTCTTCCCCTACCAACTCATGCAGCCCAATCAACAAAAGGCATCCTCTGTCTGAAGGTCGTACTTAGCTTTCAAAGAACCCCCCCTATAAACCCAAACACCCGAAAACATTGTTTTCACACCTGTTCCCAGGTCTTCGGCACATGCGCGGGGTGGGCCTGCCTTCCATTTTTTGGAAACTCAGCCAGTGGGCCGCTACCGACCGGTCCACCCTACCAGTTGGCTGTCGATCCATCAGCGATCAGCATCAGCCCTTGGTTTCCATGCAACCCTAGGCAAGACATAGGGGCAGGCTCCTCCGGTGCAATACTTGTGTGTGGAAAGAATGAACCTGTATTCAGGGTCACCAGCCCGTACGTACGGAGGTCCCCGCACCGACCTCTGTATGTACGGGTGTTCGGGGTCCCGTTCGGGGTCCGAACCCGAAGGCGTTCGGCCCCCGCCAAAAAATATTTTGGGGCCTAAAAATAAGTTTTTTTTTTCTGAATTTCTTTTTGTGAGTTCTTTATGATGTGAGGTACATGCCTATAAATTTCAAAGTCATTTTGCTATGCCAAACAAAAATAAAAAATCGCCAAAGATGGCGGTGTCAAAACGTGCTCGCCCACTCACTATTTTGTTTTTTTTCACTTTTTACTTTTTGGGTTCAGTTTATTGCGGGATCTAAACAATTTTATTATTTTTTGAAACTTTTTTAATGAGTTTTTTATTATGTGAAGTACACATCTGTAAATTTTCAGGGCATTTAACTGTGCCAAAAAAAAAAAGAAAAATCACCAAAGACAGCGGTGTCGAAAACGTGCTCGCTCGCTCACTCACTAATTTTAATTCTCTTTTGACTTTTGCTTATCTTTATATATTTAATTACATGGTAACCGCCCGGACGTCCGGACCAGGTTCCAGACAGTCCGGTGTCCGGTGTCTGGTGTCCGGTCCCCATGTCTGGATGGACGCCCCTGGGGCAAAAAAAAAAAAAAAAATGGGGCGGCCAGGACGTTTGTCGGGTCCTAGCCGCCCCTCGAAAAATAACGGGGTGATTTTTAAGTGTCCTTTCACCCCACCGGACATGGCCTAGAGGTCCAGACACAAGACACTGCAGGTTTTTGAGGTGGCGGGTTTCGCACAGGCCCGAGCAATTTCAAAGCGGCCATTT